CTCAGCTTGTTTGGGTGTTGTAAATCATGCGATGTTCCCCAAGGTTCTCTCCTCACTGGACTACTAGGTAGGTCAGATGGAGGCCAAGTGTTGGAAAGGTTCCTATTGAATTGGGGTGGCACTCTCTTCCCATTATGGTAGGTAAGTTGGGTGTTGTAGTTGGCTTTGGGTCTTTTCTTGGGCCCATCAGTTGTAGGCGTATGCAGCTTCTGCTGCAAAGGTGGCTTCTGCTGATGTTGATGTTGGCATTGGTGTTGGTGTTGGTGCTGGTTCTGGTGCTGGAACGGCTTTAGGGGAGACTTCTTCTTGGTGATGACTTCCCAACCCATTCCGGTGGTGATGTGAGATGTTGGAGTGGGGGTCTTGCTTGTTGGCACGGCCAAGGATGCCATGGAGAATGCTCGTCCAAGATGAGTAAAAGGTCAAGGTGTGGCATGAGGGCTACTTATGCTTGTGTCAAGAACTCCACTCTAAGAACAACTTGAAAATCATCCAATGGAACCACAGATAAGTTGACTTTGCCTTTCCATGGTCCCACTTGTAGGTCTACTTCACGGGCCATGCCTTCTACTACCTTGGCCCCTGAGTTGATGGCCTTGATCCACCCTATTTGTTTGGTAGTGGTCAAGCCGAGTCGCTTTGCCTCCGCAAGTGAGATGAAGTTGTGGGTGGCCCTAGTGTCCACCACCAATGCTTGGGTCGCCCTCCCGCCGAGGGTGATGTCTACATATTTCGGGCCCTTATGGGCTTCGGTGGGCCGCTTAGATGTGGCCTCTTTCTTTACCATGGCATTTATAAGTTGGAGGGCACCTACTCTCGGTGTCGGTGTGGGCTTCTCCTCATCACTCTCTTCATCATCACTGAGTTTGGTGATGAGGGCATTGATTTTCTTTCACACGGAATACTCACTAGTCTAGTGCTTTTCCTTGCAAATGTAGCAAGGTAAGGGAGGAATCGTAGGTCTCCTAGTGTACCGGTGGCCCTAGTAGTTTTAGGGCTCTTTGTGGCTTCTTTCCATGTTGATAATTGTTAAGCTTCAGCATACACTGGTTTCTCCAGTGTAGAGGTCAATTGTTGATCTCCCCCACTCAAACTCATGGTACGTGGACTGGATGGATTTTGGTCTTCTTCATCAGGTGTCCTTAGACCAACAAGCTGCTCAACTATAGCCATGGCTGTGGCAAGGTCCTTCACACCGCGCCATTGAAGTTCAAGCTTAGCCCATGGCTTGAGATTGTCCATGAAATTGAACAAGAGGTCCTTGTCTGACATGTCAGAGATCTCGAGCGTCAAGGCTGAAAATTCTTTGATGTAGTCATGTAGCAATTCTTGATGTCTAAGGTTCTTCATTCTTTTACGCGCCAGGTACTCCACATTCTCAGGGTAGAACTGACGCTTGATCTAGCCCAGGTGTCAATGGTGCGGGTGCCACGTTCAATGTCTTGACAACACCTATGCCACCATAACATTGCAATATCATTCAAATACATAGCGGTTGTACGTACCTGAGTTTGGTTGTCAATAATGCTAGTGCTAGAGAAATATTGTTCAAGTTACCATAGGAAATTGTCAAGCTCCCTAACATCCCGAGCGCCTGAGTAGGGTGTTGGCTCACGGATCTTGATGTGCATGGGAGCTAGGGTGGCTGAAGTGCTGGTAGAGTTGGTCACCACCCTTTTAAGGAGAGTCATCTCATCTCTCATCTTGTTTAATTGTGCTTGGAATCTGTCTAGCATGCCCTGTAGGCTACTCTGGGAAGGCCCCACTTCCGAGCATTATAAGGTGGTGTACATTTCTCTGAAGGCGCTATTTTATCACCCTTCTAGTTCCATCACTGCATTCTCAACAGTTTCCAAGTTGTGGTGGAGTTCATCGACCTGATCTCTAGTTTCACCTACTGTCACCTCACAAAGTAGGATGCGCATGTCCATGCTAGCTAGTTGGTCAACTAATTTGTCACGCTTGCTAGCTTTAGTTGTGCGGCCCTTCAGGGCATGTGTCTTGGCAGGTTCGTCGAGTGGAGACTCATTAGTGTCGTGGGCTTGGTACAACCCGTGTAGTATGTCATTGGCAATGTCACGGTTGCTTTTTATTGTACTGAATAAGGGACGGTTGACAGGGTCCAAGGTGCATGTAGGAGCTCCTGCTCTGATACCAACTGTCACGGGGATAATCGTTCGGGCCCCGTGCAACACTTGAATGTAATGAGTAAGCCTAAGCAACAAGCAACAACACAAGAAAAGGCAACAAGATGGCACACGAATTAGTCAAAAGGCTATTTGTATTGTATTAATAGATGGCAAGCACAAGCACACAGTTTAATGTCGAGAGGATCTCATGCTTAACCTTTACATACTACTGATTCACTCGACTACCTACTTCCCCTCAAAGAGTATGTTAAGCTTTTGGGGGAGTGACATAAAGAAACATGAAAATAGTGAAAAATCATACTACAGAATTACAAGATTGCCATTGGCATTCCCCCATACAAAATACATGCAATACCCCACCCAAGACACACTTGGACACTCGAATGGCATACTGTGGGCGTAATGATGGCACTTGATGGCACAATAAATTGGTCACTTGTGACAATGTGGCAATCTCCACGCCCCCCTCTCTTAAGCCACACTGACACCACATGTAATGGAAGAGCATGACTAAGAAGGAATGTCCTGCACGGACAAGGAAGCAAACTCCGCTGAAGAAGAGGAAACCTCCTGAAGACTTCGACGGACGCCCTCATCTTAGCAACCTCGGAAGCCCTATCCATATGGGACATAGACGCCCAACTATAAATAGGTATTCCTTGCTCGAGGTAAGGGACTTTTGGAAGAACACTCTTTGAATACCTCTCTGTACTATCTCTTCGGCTTGGACCAACGTTATTTCAACCTGTTCGGCCCGACCACATCTTTCTCTACCCAACTGACTTGAGTGTCGAAGTGCCTACCCGAGGAATAACTCCTCGGGCCTCTGACCTTTCCCTTGGTTGCAGATCTCGTTGCGTGTAAGACTATCTGATTGTGTCCTTGGTTCGAAACACCTTGGATCAAACAACATCAGTTCCGTGAGATATCACATTACTACTACCAATTCTCATTTACCTTCAATTAATAAATCAAATGTTGTGATTATAATGAAAAATAGCGATTCTTCTATGATCTAAGCGTTTTTGGGCCTAGTCATTTGCACTAAAGTCTGGCATTTGAATGCCTTTGAATGAAACTATAATTACTTTTAAAGGTGCATTTGAGTTGGTGAACTTTTATTGGCTTTGAAGTTTGAATATAAAGAATGTTGTTCTAAAATTTGAATCCTAAGTTTATTTTAACCCTAGATATAAGAAAGCTTATTTTGACTTCTAACAAACTAATTATCACTTAATTAAATGAATATAAAATAACTAGATTAACAACAACAACAATAATATTAATTAATTAATTACATAATTATTTTAATAAATCAAGCATTTAATAATTAATGGTTAATTAATTTAAAATGCATAATTGCATAATTTTTAATTAATGAATTAACTAATAATTAATAATTATGTATTTAAAAATTAATTAATTAAAATAATGACAACAACAACAACAACAACAACAACAATAATAATAATAATAATAATTGATGATGCACAATCTGCTCACTCCCTCATGTCTTGTGATGTGGCTTGAACTGGGTTCAAACTTGGCAATGCCGAGCTATATTGCCGAGCTGTAAACTATAAGTCCGAGCTGAGAAGAGTTGTAAGGAAAGAAGAGTTAGAGTGCCTGGGTAGGTTTTACCCAGGAAGACATTCCGATGCTTAAGTCAGTAAGTAGGTCTTACTGAAAGTATGTAAGAGAGTATGAGAGCTTATGTGTGCATACCTTTCAGAGTGATCCTAGGTTCTATTTATAGCTATATGAGGTTCAAGTGCCATCAGGTAACGTCTTTAAGTCTTCTATGGTTCGGCGAGTTGTTCCTATAGTTGTGGTAATGGTGTTTGAACGGGCGTGACGCGTAGGACTGTTTTGGGGCGAGCTAGTGTTGCCGGTGGGTCGAGCTCGCTCTAGCTTGGTCGCGTACCTGATGCTGTTTGCCACATGCTACTTTGTCAAGCTGCCTTGCTGTGCTGGACACTGCGTCGTCAACAACGTCCACATGTCGATAATTGTGTGGGACGACCAAAATGCCCCTCATCAATAACAATTTCTAAATATTACCTCATTATTATTATTATTATCATTATTGTTAACTAAAATAATAATAATTAATATTTATTAGTTCTATAATTAATTAATTAATTAATAATTTTGTATTTAATAATTCTATAATTAAAATGATGAATTATTTAATAATTTAAAATATAATAAAATAATTAAGTATATAATTAAATCATGCATATATAATTAATAAAATAATAATAATTTGTAATTATTATTATTATCAAGGTTTACAAACCGTTGTCGACCCAGAAAGTTGGGCTATTGGGCCCAAAAAATTGGTCAGAGTATTCGTGCCGTTTCACCCCTAATTCACTATTTGCCCAAACCACTATTGAATTAATCAACGCCCCATTGTTCCAAGTGATTGAATTGTTGATCAATTTGACCCAAACACAAATTGCCGATTGGAATGTGTTGTCAAAGTGATTGGCTTTAGTGCTTATAAAATCATGTTTACACTGTTATACAATTTTTTACACGTGTATAGAGAACATCTCCATACTTGCATGTTTTTTTTCATGGATAGATATTCTCGAAGACTGCAAGGCTTGAGAGGACCAAATCCAATTTCGTTGCCAAAGTGATTTCGATTTTGAATGAATTTATAAAATAATTGATTATTATTATATATCATATTATGTACGTAATACAAAATTAAAGCTGAACAAAAAATTGATAACGAACGCTCTTACTACCTCTGAATGATAGCTCTTCAGCAGTTCAGCGTTAAGCTATCGAACAGGCCCTTTATCTGGCGTTGGATCAGAAAATAACGGTCTTGATAATGATATAAACTCGGAGTAACCGATAAGTCTTGTACATCGAAGAAAAGGACCCTACCTACGTGACGCGAGCTCGGAACCTCGGAATCAAGCTGAAGAGGGAGTAGCATTCTCTACTCTGACGACGGCTCTTTTTTTTCACTCTTAGGGCTTCGATTCCGGGCAAGAATTTCTGCAGAAGGGAAAAAGGTTTAGTTTCCTCAATTTTGATGGTTAAATCTCTATTCTGTGGAAGTTTTTAATCACTTTGTTTCACAGTATTTGTGGAATTTGATGGTTTTCTCTAGTAGGAATCGTGAATTTCAATCTTTACCTTTTGTAGGATCTTACTTGTATTCTTTGGATTGTTTATCTTCGATATCCAAGCGGATTTTGCTTTTTCTTTTCTTTCTTTTTTGGGAGTCTTTTTATCCGTTTCCGATAACTATGTATCTGGTCAATTTTTTGGTTTCCAATCTTGGGTTGATGCTGCCGACAAACCCAAGTTTGTGGATCTATTCGCTCTTGTTTTCACTTTTAAATTTAGGGCTTGTTTCTCTTCGAACCTATTTTGTACTGATAGGATTTTATTGACTTATGTTAGTTTTTTTGAGTTCTGATGTCCTTTGCAGTTTCTTGAAGTTTGATACGTTCTGGATGTACGGAATTTGTTTGTTTTTCTTATTTTGATTTGAATATTTCTCTGATTGTTGTTATTCTATTTGTATGGATTTGAATACCCAATATTTCGGGTCATACATAAAAAATCTTTCTTGGGTTTTCTTTGAAAATGAGAACAATTAATTATTTTGCAAAATATTACCCTGAAAGAGTGGAGAGTTTGCTGAAGGTTGAATTACCATAATTAATATCCATTTCTTTCTAGGAGGTATTGTACGTGTATTAAATAAACATTTTATTTTGGCTAAAGCTTACAGTGGAGTTCTGGCTGCTTATGCTACTAAATAAATTTCTTAGGGCAATCTTTCCACTCGTCTCTTTTATAAGAAATCTTATTTGTATAAACATCATTTCCGGGAACCTTGAGATGTGGCTATGCATGAGCAAATTTATTGGATTGCGGTGTATGGTGAGTAGGAAATTTTCTTAAGAAGTTTGGCATATTTAATAGGAAATATGTTGTGGTCAGCGTGCTGCTATTTCTCTGCCCTTGTCTGGATTGGGGGTTCCTATTGTAAGTCTTGTTCTTGTAAACCTTGTTTCTTTTTGTCTTCCCGAAGGGCTTCCCATTTCTGTTATTAATTACTAAAAAAAAGAAAGAGAGATAATGCTCTAAGAAAAACAATATATTGGACTTTGATTGATTTTCCGCCTCTCTCTTGGGTGGCGGAGTGGGTTATTGCCTTTGGGTAAACTTAGTTCAGGGGGACTGGACCCTGTTATGTTGTGGTACTTGGTGAGTCTAAGACTCAAGTCTGCTTCTTTTGGTGGTACAGATTGCATTTAGGAAGTTCATATTTTCTATGATTTCCTGGTTTAAACATTAAGGGGTATAAACTTTCTAAAACTGAACATCCCTAGTTATGTCGTGGTGCAGATTGCATTCATTCACATGTTACCTTGTGCAAATTATGCAATTAGCCATTTATCATTCAAAGTTGGGTTTGTCTGCTCCCCGTTCTTGTTTCAATATTTCTGTGCTCTGCACAACAGAGAGAATGACTATTATTATTTTAAAGGTGGTACAATCTATGTTCAGTTAATTTATATATGTATTATTTTTGTATATGAGTCTGTTAATGTTTTCTTTACCCTTTGCAGATATCAATTCTGAATTCCAGAACAAGTGCATGCTCCATTAGGCTTCACATGACAAAGATCAATTGGTCTGTGCTTGGTGTATGTGGTTGGATCTAAATCCCAACTTGCTGACCTGGAAAGAGCAACTGATGCAACATAGTTGGGATAAGGTTTTGTTGAGTTGAGTTACTGTTGTGATTGTAAGAATGTGCATGAAGATTTTTATGTAGATCTGTACTGATCTTTAACATATATACTGAGAAGGAAACAACCACAGCTCTTCCAAGATGGAAGATGTTCAATTAAACACAAACTGTGATGTTATTTGTCCTATATGCTTGGAGTATCCTCACAATGCAGTTCTCCTCCAATGTTCATCCCATGAGCAAGGATGTCGTCCATTTATGTGTGATACAGATCATACACATTCAAACTGTCTTGACCGTTTCAAAAGTGCAAATGGAGTGTCAGCAGCAGTAAAGGGGCCGACAATGTCAAATGCTACTTCAACAGAAAGTAATGAGCCAGTCTCACTCCATGGCAGCTCTCACCCGGCTTGTCCATTGTGCAGGGGAGAAGTTACAGGTTGGGTTGTTCTTGAAGAAGCTCGTCAGAATTTGAACAAGAAGAGCCGATGCTGTGAGGAGGAACATTGTACATTTGTTGGTAACTATATGGAACTTCAGAAGCATGCAACACTCAAGCATCCTCATTCTCGTCCAGCAAAGATAGACCCTGCGAGACAACTTGATTGGGAGAACTTCCAGCAGTCTTCTGAGATAATAGATGTTTTAAGCACCATCCATTCTGAAGTTCCACATGGAGTGGTGTTGGGGGATTATGTGATTGAGTATGGAGAAGAGGAAACTGGAGATGAATTTGAGGACTTCCCTGGGGATGAAGGAAACTGGTGGACTTCATGTATTTTATATCAGGTCTTTGACAATTTTAGGACTTCAAGAAACCGGAGAAGGTCAAGAACTACAGAGACAAGGAGAGGACATCATCGATCAAGCTATGATGCATCAAATTCTGATGAGGGTTCTGTATCATCTACAGAAATACCTGAATATAGAGTTGATGAAATGGATGATGAATTTGGGAGTGCAAGTCGCCCATCTAGGGGGAGCTTTGGTTATCGCAGGTAGTGAAGCATATTCTTTAATGTTTCTTCATGCTTGATTGTTCTCAAAATGCAAGACTTGTTTTTTTTTCTTCTTTCTTTCTTCTCTCTGGTTTTCTGATATAAATTAACAATTAATTAATTTGTGCAATTCTGTTATAAATATATTAGGTTCATCTTTTATGATATCTTTCCTAGATCCGTTTTTCAAACTGGAAACATACAAATGGAAATGACTTTTTATTGGAATACACCCCCCAAAAAAATGCTTATTTATGTAGTGAGTTTAGCAGCTATATAGTAAATGATGGACTTGCCTTTTTGTTATTATATGCATATGCTGCTGTCTCTCTAGCATATGCATAAGTGCACTGGCTATGTACTAGGCATTTATGGCATTGCATAATGTAAAGTTTACTGTAATTCTCCTTACCATAATAATAGTTGCCAAGGTGCCTAGGCAATTCTGGGTGATGCGGGGCACCTAGGTGGTTAGTTTTTAAAATAAAAAACTAAGTTTTGGTTAATTGAAAACATTAAGTTTCCTTGCAACACATGTCAAATCATCTTTTGTGAAAGTCAATGCTAGTTTTTTCAATATGTTAATGTGTGTGTGTGTGTGTGAGAGAGAGAGAGAGAGAGTCACCTACCTTGTAACTTTTATCACTTAGTTGAGTGCCTTGTTGCAAATAAGTCAAGGCATTCTGGTTGGGCGCCTAGTCGCCTAGGTTATGATGGTACAACAACTATTCTGACTTCTGATCACTGCTCTAATTTTGCATAATGAAACTACGTCATGAGGGAGTGGTGCAAAGGAAAATATATCATTAAAGATGGTCAGGATAATCCATTGTGATGATTAGAACCATGCAACATAACTTGCAGTTCTTGTGGCTGGGTAATCAATGAATGGATTCCAAGACTGTTGAAGCTTCAAAGTTATGATCTAGTTTGTTTCTGGATTGGGAGCAGGCAGTTAATTACTGATCACAGCTTAGAAAGAAATCTTTTTTTTTTTTTTCCTGGGTCATTCATATAAGCCTAAATGTGGGCAGTTTATGATAATTTAGGTAATATCTTCTATCTCTATTACTCTTTCTTTTCTTGTATCTACATAAAGAAATTTAATTTCATCTATAGGAGAGCCACCTATGGCCTTACCTATGTATATGTATATGTATATTTATATATATTAAAGGAAAACCCTTAGACTAGAGAGTCTCCTCTTAAAACACATGGCAATAAGGCATTCTATTTTTCAAAAAACAGTATCCAAGAAGTGGGGTCTTTCCACTCTCAAATAGAAGCTTTCTTCCTTTTGAAGTATGATCTGCTTACTAGAAGGTAGGCTGAAACAGGGTTTGGTGATGATGGTTATGGCCCTAGAAGAACTATTGAAGTATGGAGAGCCTAGAAAAACTGAAAACACCAAGTTCCCTGGAGAAGAAGTTCAATCAAGCAGAAGAAGGAGAAATCAAATGAAGGGGAGGAAAAATCAGTAGCTGAACAAGAAGAAATATACTATTATCCTCTATAACAGTTCCGAAAGTAATGTGGGAAGGTAAGAAGACTGACTGTGAAGGGAGGAAGGTTATTATGGTAAAGGAAAAAATTGGAGGATTGGAATGAAATCCTGGAAATGGTAATGGAAAAAATTCAATCAAAAGAAAAGGCGGTTCTTATACTGTTTGAAGAAAAGAAAGTAATTTTTGGTCTGGAGAATTTTCATATGGAAATGCTGACTTTCGAAACACGATTTGGTGTAAGCTAACAATTGAAATTGGTCGCCCAATTGCAATGAATAAACCTGTTCAGATGGTAGTATGGTTATTAAGCTTCTCAGTCTACCTTTCAACCTTTGGCAGGAGTTTTAGAAGCGTAATGTACACAGGATTTTTGAGCAGCCAATGTTTAGATTGTGGGAGTAAAACCAGGAAATATTTCCCGAGCGTTGGAGGTGTTTGCTGATGATACTTGGAGAACAATTTGGCTCGTGTCTGAAGCTAAAGTGTTGCTTTGTAAGCAGGGGGCGTAGGTAGAAGAGGATCACAATGTGGCAGATTGGTTGCCACGTGGAAGAAGCTGGGTGGGATCGCAGGAAATGTAGAAGTGAAATGGTTTGGAAATTGAAAAGTTGGAGGAAGGTTCAAGAATCGACAAACTCTCTTATTCTTGGGAAGGGTTAAGAGAGTTTACCCCTTCCCTAAGAAGCTGTAGTTATTGTTCTTTGTTTCATTAATAAAAGTTCTGTTACTGATCAATTTTTTTTTTTCAAATTATTTTGAATTTAATCCAAGGGTCACAAGGCCTCTTATGTGGAGGTGTTGAAATCAAAACACAACCTGGGTGTTTCATTAGTAGTCATTTTTGAATTGAACCAGAGTCACATATTTCATTAAAAAAGCATGGGCCTCCTCATGGTTACTCAACCACTCCTGATAAACCCAATCCACGCTATAACAGAGAACAAGATTATGACTTTGAGGACGAAACTAATTGGAAGGAAGGGACTTAGATGAAGAGGAAGTCAATGAACCTTCAAGCATTGGAAGCATAAGCTCAACAAGAGGCTGTAAGATTGCGGATTTAGGTCAGTTTGGAACAGAGCTCTTATTTGAACAACACTCTGGTACAGAAGTTCTAGAGCTGAAGGAAGTGGGGAGTGGAAGAAAATACTTCTGACTGTAGGGACCTTTGGAGAAACCTCATGGAGAAAAAATGTAGGAACAAATTAAGCACAAGCACATGGTGTCCGTAAGTGAGGTAAAGAGTATCACAACGAACCAAGCATATGAACACCCAATGAACAAAACATACTAGCTGTACAAGTTGCTTCGGAGTTCAGAAAAGGAACTTCATCATCTAGAGCTTAACCTTGGGAAAGATTGTGTTTCTCCAGTTCAGGGAGTTTCTGATGGGGATCGGTCCAGGCATTTTAACAACGAACCAAGCATATGAACACCCAATGAACAAAACATACTAGCTGTACAAGTTACTTCGGAGTTCAGAAAAAGGAACTTCATCATCTAGAGCTTATCCTTGGGAAAGATTGTGTTTCTCCGGTTCAGGGAGTTTCTGATGGGGATCGGTCCAGGCATTTTAAGACCTATTCTCATAAGAAGAAGGCCAACAAACAGGTTCTGATTTGGCATGGGGAAGACTCTTGGGATTTGGACTGATCTACTCGGGTATTTTTGTCATTTTGACCAGTGCAATGCGGGCTTGGGCTATAACATCCTGTTCCTCTAGCTTAGTAGTGCTTTTCTTTCGTGTATTGATCGGTAATTAGGGAAGAAAATGGAAACATTCTAGCTTTGTACTCAGGTCCTGTTCAGCATGGAGATGTGGTGAGATCATAATTATTGGCAGCAGTCTATGGAGTAAAGAAAGCTAAAGAAATGGGGATTACTAAGCTGATTCAAAAATAGTTGTGGGCTGGTTGAAAAAAGGGGAAGGAATCATATGGAAGTAAGGAATGAATTCAGGAGATTCAAGCAGATTCCTAAAGATATGATGATCCAAATAAGGTGGATAAGGACATCTGCAAATAGTTTGGCTGATGGTCTTGCAAAGCAAGGAACTCAAAGATAATTTATATTATGGGAAATTTTGTAAATAGTGAATAGTTTCTGGTTGGGCTTTGTTTTGTGCCTAGAACTCTTTGTTGTATCTTTATTTTTTAATCTAATGAATCAATTTTGTGTTGCTGATCAATAAAAAAAGTAGTGCTTCTCTTTCAATTTTTAGTTTATTTGCATTAATAGGTAGAAAAGTGTTAGACAGTTATGCCCTTAGCTCCAATCAGATTGATGTATCTTTTAACATTTATTGTAAATGAATAAAGTACATAATTGATTCATGTCATTGTGGTGTGTTTCTGTGTAATACCCTTAAACTGGACACTTATGAGACTTGTGTTAGTTTAGAATATTCACAGCCATTGGATAGATCTGAGGAGATTTATCCTGCCAAGGCTGACGCTGATGTGCCGGCAAGTTGGTTGGGGTGGCTTGTCTCAGCTGCCAAGGTGAGACTTGAGGTACATGCAATGTGGATTTTCTTGAAATCCTGAACCGGACCAAATTCCAGTATTGCTTTGGACCTTGGAGATAGATGGGCAAAACTGGAATGTTACACCTGACCCTTAGACTCGACTATGGTACTGCACTAGGTATCGGATTGTGCTGTCTTTGATATGCCAATCAGTGAGATCCTTAAAGGGGGTCAAAACCAGGGTGTGTTGGGACAGTTCGAGAATCCACTTGAGTGGGTGATCATAGTGACAGGATTAGCCCCTTTGTCGGACAAAGTGAATGATCGGGGAATGCACTCTCTCCGATGGAAACCTAAACTGCCGGCAGTTGATTTCAAACGTTGAAATTTGTTTTTGCAAAATATATTTATATAGAGATTATGGTTTCAAACTGTTTGCAAAAGGTTTTAATTCCTGGGATCCATGTGAGTAGAGAGTGCAACACTGTACCTTGCAGTCGAGGGAGATGTCCTCTCTTGTCGGACAGTGTTTGATCATTATGGGTTGAGAGGTTAAGTGTAAGACCATTGAGGGTAATACCTGATGGGCTAATCTTGCATCTGCTCACAGTTCTTGGGTTTTCATAAGGTGGCTGGATCGATGAACTATTTAGTGTAAATGTTGGGCCCATTAAGAGCCAATGGTGATGGACTCAGGGGTTCACTCTCCTACAGTGAATTCGGCCAGGCCTTGTAACAAAGGCTGGGCTGAATTCATGTGGTTGATGTGTAAATCAATGTTAGGGTCCCATGCCATACAAAGAGAGCCAACTGAGCAGCAGGTTAAAGAGTAAGTGAGCACATAAGCTTAATGGGCCTAAGGCTCAATTCGAACTGGGCTTAAGTTAGTTAATTAAAAGGGGGCGAATTCAGTTTTAAATTGATTAGTATTAGCTGAAGGATAAGATAAGTCTTATCCACTTAAGAGTCCAGATCCAAATATAAGATTTGGATTAGGAAACTCTCTCCTAATTAGATTAAGTGGCTGA